ATTCAGACACAGCTTCTGTTTTTGTGGTATTGAAAATAAATTATTGCATACAGAACGTGAATTTGAAGGCCTTCAAGATCTTTTAAAAATTTTTATTGAATTTATTGGGGTAATATTGGCCAATAAAATCATATAGGTTTCATGTATACAATTCTATAATACACCATCTGTATATTGTATTGTGTGTTCACTGCTCCAAAGTCAAGTCTCCTTCCATCACCATTTATCCCCTCTTTACTCTCTTCTGCCTCCCTGAAGCCCCTTTCCCTCTGGTAATCACCATACTGTTATCTGTGTCCATGAGATTTCGGTGGTTTTTTTTTGCTTAATCCCTTCACCTACTTTACCCAACCCTCCAGCCCCCTTCCCTCTGACAGCCAGTCTGTTCTATGAATCTGTTTCTATTTTGTTTGTTTAGTTTTTTCATTACAGTCCACAAATACATGAAAGCACATGGTAGAAGAATATAATTTTAAAGTATATTAATTACTGTAAAAGAAATAGATGTGGGGAAATCTTTATAAATTGAGTATACTGTCGATTCATCATTCATTAGCTATGAGATCTTAGGATAGTTACTTAACCTCTCTATATCAATGCTTCCTCATCCTGAAATAGCAATAATAATAGTAGTTTCCCTTATGGTATTGCTGTAATGATTAGACTGATTAATCTGGGTAAAATACCTTCTAAAAGTGCCTAACATAAGTAGTGCTCAATAAATGTTACCTATTATTATTATTATTATTATTATTTTAATTATCAGTGTGCTGCTACATAAAATTTTCACAGGAACCAAACCTTGGAGACCAGGAGAAGAAGCCCTAACGCGAATATGTTACATCCTGTAAAGAATGTGGACAATGATGGCATTCTCCATAGATGTCCTGAATAATGTCCACATGGTGGAGGAACCGAGTGGGTGATGTGAAGGGTCTTCTAGACCTCTTCTCACTGCGAATCTTATTGTCTGCAGGCCTCTGGTTTGGAATACATTCCACCTGAATGTTTCCTTGGACTTCGTGGGTACTGTCCAAATTGAAACTGATCCCACGACTGGTGACTCCAAAGTGGTCATGACAGAATGCCACCTCGACCCAGAGAGCCTCTCATTCACCTTGTTGGGCGAGTAAGTCCCATCCATCACAAGAGAGCTGGGCTCTCGGAGGAGCGAAGGACCCTAATTTCAGCCCTCTTCCTGTCCCTGGGAGATGGCACAACGTGGTGAAAAGGGTTTAGGCTCTGCAGTCAGACAGGCCTTGGTTCAAATACCAGCTCTGTCACTAACTTGTAACTTTGCCATCAACTTAACCTCTCTGAGCCTCGGTTTTCATATATGTAAACTGAAGATGACAGTAATAACTTCATATAGGCTGCTGAGCTGACCAAATGACAAAGTACGAGTGTTTAGCATAGAGCCTGGCACACACTACACTCTTGGTAAGAATAGCGTTCAAGCTGATTTTGTGTCCCCTTGTCCTCCCCATGATGACTGAGGCAGGAGCGTTGACTTCTCCAACTAGAATCATGAATTTGCTTACTTCACCTTTCAGCTCTAGCGAGTTTTGCTTCTTGCTTTTTGAAACTCGGTTGTTAGGGGCATGCCTATTTAGGATCTCTATGTCTTCTTGAAGAATTACCCCTTCATTGTTATTTCAG